TCAGTGAGACTATACCACTGGAGCCTGCAGAAAACCTACTATATAAAGCCACCCCACAAAGACTAGAAGTCATAGCAGATATATCTAATACATAGAAACAAACACAAAACAGCAACCAAAATAGGAAAACAAAAAAACAGGTCCCAAATGAAAGAACAAGAGAAATATCCAGAAAAAAAGCTACATGAAACAAAGGCAAGCAGTTTATCAGATATACAGTTCAAAGTAATGGTAATAAGGATGCTCAACAGAATGAAAAGTGACACCGAAACCATAAAAAAAGACCAGTCAGAAATGAAGAATACATATCTGCAATAAAGAATACACTAGAAGGAATAAACAGTAGGTTGGATGAAGCAGAGAATCAAATCAGCTTTGGAAGACAAAGTATCAGAAACACCCAAACAGAGCAGCAAAAATAATTAACAGAAATGAGGACAGTTTAAGGGACCTTTGAGCCAACAAGAAGCATAACAACAAACACATCTAGGGGTACCAGAAGGAAAAGAAAGAGAGCAAAGGATTGAGAACCTATTTGAAGAAATAATGACAGAAAATTTCCCTAATCAGGTGAAGGAAAAAGAAACACAAGTCCAGGAGGCACCGAGAATCCCAAATAAGTTGAACCCAAAGAGGCCAACACCATGACACATCAGAATTAAAATGGCAAAATTTAAAGACAGAGAGACAATCTTCAAGCAGCAAGAGAATGAAAGTTACCTGCAAGGGAGCTCCCATAAGACTGTCAGCTGATTACTCAAGAGAAACATTTCAGGCCAGAAAGGATTGGCCTGAAATATTCAAAATGATGAAAAGCAAGGACCTACAACCAAGACTACCCAGCAAGGCTATGATTTAAAATTGAAGAAAAAATAAAGGGCTTCCCAGATACAGAATTAAAAGAAAAGTAAAAGGGCCTGCAGAAAAAGGAGGAGGGGAGGAAGGAGAAGAAGAAGAGGAGGAGGAAGAAGAGGGGAGGAAGAAGAAGACAACAGAGGAACTTAGTTAAAAGAATAGAATGGCAATAAATACATACTTATCAGTATTCACTTTAAATGTAAATGGCTTAAATGCTCCAATCAAAAGACATAAGGTAGCTGAATGGATAAGAAAACAAGACCCATGTATATACCCACCTCAGAACAAAAGACACACAGAGTCTGAAAGTAAAGGGATGGAAAGATATTTCATGCAAATGGAAGTAAAAGAATGTGGGATAGCAATACTTTTGTCTGACAAAAAAGACTTTAAAACAAAGGATATAGTAAGAGACAAAGAAGGACGCCAGATAATGATAAAGGGAGGAATCCAGCAAGAGGATATAGCCCTTGTAAACACCCAATATAGAAGCACCTAAATATGTAAAGTTAATCTTGATGGACATAAAGGGAGAGATTGGCAGTAATACAGTCATAGTAGGGGATTTTAACACCCCATTGGCATCAATGGGTAGCTCTATCACACTTAGAAAATCAACAAGGAAACGGTGTCCTTAAATGACTCTAGATCAGATGGATTTAATTGATATCTTCAGAGCATTTCACCCCAAAGCAGCAGAATATATATTTTCTTCAGGAGCACATGGAATATTCTCTAAGATAGACCATATGATAGGACACAAAACACGTATTGCATTGCCCTGACCCATGTGGCTCAGTTGGTTGGGCATTGTCTCATGCACCAAAAGGTTGACATGGATCAGGGCACATGTCCCAGGTTGCAAGCTTGATCCTGGTGAGGGGCTTGCAGAAGGTATCCGATCAATGTTTTGCTCTCCCATCGATGTTTCTCTCTCCCTCTCCCTCTCTCTAAAAAAAAAAAAAATCAAATATTAAAAAAAAAATAAAAATCACATGTAGCAGCATAAAATTGCCGTGCTAAGACTGGAAATATATACAGTAAAAAATTAGAAATGGAAAAAATATTTTGAGGGCATTTTAATTGTAAAACAAAAGAATGACCATCTTCAAAAGACAATAAAATAGAATAAGGAAACATTAACAGCAGAAATTTTAAACAAGCACACTGGCTATTCTTAGCTCTAGAGGATAAATTCATTCAACATACATTTATTATAAATGCATACTATATTCGCAATACTGAGTCAGAACACGCAAAGACAAAGGGCAGGGTTCCTGGGGGTACAGACCCAAGACCCGGACAGAGGACAATAAACAGTGAGGGAGCAAGCACAGTACGTGTGCACAGAGGGATGCCAGCATCACAGAGGCAATAGAAGTGGCCACTCCAAGTCCTCTCATTTCTGCTATCCCTAAATTTCCTCTTTTAGCATTTCATCTCCTAGGCCAAGTGTTATCAGCCTCTCCCCCATACCCCCCACCCCATCCTCTCCTGACTCATTCTATTCATTCTACTAAAAACATTTAATTTCACATCACACTCCCTTGGGCATTTATAGGAGAATCTGTGGGTTCTCTGGGAGTTCACAAGTCCCTGTCCAGTGGGGATACTAATATGAAAAATGTTTTTCTCTATTTTCTGAGACCCTTGGGGTACTTAACTCATAAGACTGATCAAGCCCCTCTACCTTCTGAGTTGCCCCTTGCCCATGGGAAACTCACACATCCTTGTCACCCTAAACACTGCAGTGCCACAACGCTCCCCACCTCAGCCCCTCCATCTCCCCTGTGCTTGGTCAGGGTAAAGCCAGATCTGCCAGTCTCCTGCCTAAGCAGATGTCCAACCTAGGAAAGGACTGCTGCTCCCCCTGCTGCGGCACCCCTCCTGCAGCACCCCTCCAGGCTCTGTGAGCCACTCACTCTCTGGGAGCTGTGTGTGAAAATAGCTGCTCACTAGAAGCACCCTCGCCTATCGCAAAGCCAGCGTTGACTACTCCTCTGTCCCCCTCCTCATGGGGTGGGGGTCTGCCTACCATCAGTTGGAGGCTCTCAGTGGAAGGTGGTGGACATAGTACCACTTGTCTCCAGCCTGGGACAGCAGGGTCAGCCCCATTCACAGTCCCGAAGAATTCTGCCCCTCCCCCCACCTTAAGAAATGCAAATGAAAGTATTATTTTTTAAATGCTTCTATTCTAATTCTTCTTTTAGTAAATCAAGAGCTTCTGTATTTTAACTCTTATTGGTAGCAGAATTGTACACGATGCCACCTCACCAGGTTTGAGAAATTCAGATACAAAGAAGTATTTGCCAAGTCTTAAAAATTAAAATATAAGTTAACAAATAAAGTGGTGGGAGGGGAACCAAACAATACCACCTAAGTACATTAAAATGGCTATTTGCCACCTAAAGATATTAAAACTACCTTTATTATCTTTTATCTTCACCATTATTTCATAAAAGGTCATTTTAGCAAAAAGGAAGAACATCACCTCAGAATAAAAGGGTAGTGCTTTATATCTCAAGAAAAACAGATCAGTGTCTGAAAGTGAGGTTTGAGCTTTCTGGAGAAATGTAATGAATTATTCTGTCTCCCTCATTTTACTGCAAACCAATAAAACCCACCTAAGAGCAGCGCTCTGAGGACAGGTACTTGAGAGTGCTCACCTAGCCACTTTGGCCGTTGGCCTCAGCCTAAGAATAAACTGGTAACTTTTCTTTAAAAACCGGCAGACATCCCAGAGCACCCCAAGCATCACACAGGAGGTCAGGGGACCATGAGAGCCTATCCCAGGTCAATCCAAGGTCACCTGCTGTTCGCAGGGTGACCAGTACAAGGACAAGAGCTGGGCTCTAGCTGAGCGCCCTCTTCGCTGCATTTCATACAAGGCGGGGCTTCCTCTGCTTTGGCTTCCAAGCATCAGGGCTTCCCAATAAACACTGCCAGGGCTTAGCCTCAGATTTAAGTCATCTCAAAGCCTGCGTAACAGAACCAGACAAACGGCGGCCTGCACAGCTTCTTGACACAGAGAAGCGTGCAGTCTGTGCAGCCAGCGGCCTCTCAGCCCCTTTGATGCTGGATATAGGCGCAGGGAGGGTGGAAAGGTAATGCTTTCACTTCAGCCCTGACAACAACATCAAGCTTTTCATTTGTCGGGACGGTGGTTCCTCGGTTCTCGAACGTCTCCGTTGACGCACATTTCGGTTTACAAACCCAGTAAACCCAGTAGTAAATGCCTCGGTTTTCGAACATGCCTCGGAAGTCGAACATGCCACACGGCTTCCGCTGAGGGCAAGGTCCTGAGGCCCAGCTGTCGGCTGCGGATCCCTCGGTTTTTGAAGGTTTCAGACTCGAACGATCTTCCAGAACAGATTGCATTTGAAAACCGAGGCACCACTGTACAATGTTGACAGTTGATCTTTCATGATCAAAAAGCCTTCTGATTTATTTATTTTTAATTTCTTTTTTTTTAAAGCCTTCTGGTTTATAATCAGACTCCTGCCAAACCCTCCATTCCTGGACCTTTTAACTGATCTAGTAAATTACAGCAGAGAGGAGAAAACAAGCTCCCTTTAAACAACAGCAGCAACCAGGGGGAAATAGCAAAGGTTTCAGGAAGGATTTATGCTTCCTTCAGTGGCAATTAGGGGAAATATGGATTAAATACTTTTCAAAACTAGCAGCTGTAATTATCAGGGAAACTTGAGGCAGTGTGACTTCTGACACATCTGTGTGAGCCATTTTCATACAGCAAAGTCCGCTGAGGGAGAGAAAAGAGATAATTGTATCCTCCCAATAACTGCAATTTTATATTGGTAAATCAAGCATAAAATTGGTAGTTGAAATGCTTCCAGGAACCTTTGTTTAGCAATACCTTTATTCATCTATATATTATCTCAGACTCTAGCTTTTCTAACTGCTGTCCTTCCATGAGATAGAGTTGTGTTTGTCATGTTACTGTGACTGTCTTCAGAGCGGGCATTTACTGAATGCTTGTTGAGTGCTCTTAGAAATGGTAAGACTGTGTATAACTTAGCCTGACAAAACCATCATTGGAGTTAGGTGACATTATGAGATGTTATCTCATAGATGACATCTTATTTGCCTCTCAATAATGTCCAATGTTTGTCTTTTTAATTCAGGCATCATATCAACGTTTCTTCATGTCCATCCTTTCGGAGCCAATATAGAATATCTTTGGTCATACATGCAGCAGCTGGACTCCAAGGTAAATTCTTTCTCTCCAGGGGACTTGCATTGCTGAAATTTAACATGTTGCTTGCTGGTTGCAGGGGGACTGTGTGAGCTGCATTAGGGGTACACTACTAGCATATGGAGGTTAATCAGCTCTTCTCCTTTACAAGGACCTGGGTTTTTGGCAGATCGTTAAATTCTTTTCTTTTTTGTCTTTGTAGAAAGAAGAGCAGTTATCTAAAATGACGATGACTTTTTCAGCAGATGCCAAATTACTTCAAAAAGCATATGAGGGATTTAAAATTGCATGTTGACCTGAAAGTTCCCCAAACAAGGGAGAAATCAGGTCAAGGTAGCTAATGGGGCATTATCCTTAGACCATATTCTCACAGAATTCTATGTTAAGGACACCACACAATAGAGGAAAAATCACCTTAAATAACAAAGATCTGATGTGAACTCTCAAGAAAACTGTATTAATGGCTGTTTTTCAGCATTATTCTCTAAATGACAAAAATGACTATTAAATCAGCTTTGCCCCTCAAGGGTCACTCCCAGAGTCAGAACATCGCTCCTCATTTCTCTGTGGCTGTTTTTTCCATTTGCAAATTAGCTATACTCCTAGCCCATTGCATTGTTTGTGTGCCAAAGAGAAGGGGCAGAAGAGCCGAATTTATGCATTGAATTCCAGTGAACAATGAGGGGGCTCCTGCTGAAATAAAGTGATGTCATTAACCAGTGCTGTCCCTGCACTCCCTGGAAAGGGATGGACACAGAATCAAGCAGGGAAGCGAGGCCTGTCGCTGAGTAGCTTTTAAATGTCCTGCTGGGAAGAAAAATGGAAACAAGAAGCTCTTCCACAGAGCACAGCAAAGCGCATGGAATTTGTAGGACCAGGAGCGCAGCCGGCAGTTGTGTGACCCTGAAATACACACACGCAGTCGTTCTAAGTTTTCAGTGGTCGGTATCAATTAAAGCACTACACTGTGTTCTTATTTCGATTCAGATGATTTTACCAATTCATGATCCCACAGCTGTTTGACCTTTCTGATAGGGCTTATGGTTCCCCTTCGAGAGAAGTCACCTGGAACAAAAGGTATTATTCAGCCATAGAGATTCCTGCCCCTTTATTCCCTCACAGCCGGTGATAGGGCGACCAAACAGAGTGAAAGGGAAGGAGGAGACTGTGAGGTTCTTGAGGTTCAGACTCATAATATCGTCTTCTCTGTGGGCTCCCTTCCTAGGGGTAGGGAGGTGATAGAAAATGCCCATTTAACGCACGTGACATGAGAAGGAAGAGCTGGAGATGTCACTGTGTTGAAATAAAGCTCTGAAGGGCCCCCTTGTTGTTGTTGCTGTTGTTTTCTTTCGCCAATGCCACCCTTCCTTTATCTCTCCACTGCCTCCGCCTGGAGAATTAAACGCGATCCTGCTTGCACCAAGAAATCAGTCCTGCTGCTGCCATAGTCTTCCCTTTATTGCTGACGTCTCTTTCCTCCCTTTTATGGAAACCCGGAGTGGGAAGTCTTTGTGGAGAAGCCGTTGTTTTTTAGTCTGAGCTGAAATGGCTCATCTAAGTATGAGCTGAAATTCATCTAAGAAGCTCAGGGCTGTTGTCCCCTCTCCTCCAGCAGCGCGGGTTGGTGATCTGTGCGTCTATGAAATGTGTGCGCACGCGTGTGTGTGTTGTCACACAAGCGTGTGTGTGCGTGTGCATGTCTAATCACCTGGGGGTGATAAATAATGAAATATTTTGGTGGAGTAGAAGCTCTTGTTTTTTTCTCACCCAAAGGACAGAGTGTCTGTCATCTATTTGCTCAGGTGAGGCTTGTGTGGCCTCCCTCAGGCATCTCTGAGGAGAGAATTCATGTACCTGGTCTCTTGTCATTAGATGATGGGCGTTTCGGGAAGGGATCCCATCAAGGGGAATTCCATTTCATCTCAGACTGGTGCTTTTATTTTAGCAGATAATGACAAAAATATTTTCCTCAGAGAGGAAACACACAGGGTCTCCCCCAGACAGCCCTCCATCTCCTGAATGAAATACTCAGTAGAGCTGTCAAATTTTTTGCTCCTGCCTGAGGTAAAAAATATATCGAAAAAGTACTCTGACTTAAAAATTCCTGGGTGCTAGGGATCGGACTAAATATTCTTTCTATCCCAGTGAAGCTGAAAGGATACTGACTTTTTAATCCAGAGAGCAAATTGCTGTATACTGGGATTCCATATCCTCGGGGCTTTAAGCAGAAAACAAAGTAATGAAAGGTTGCCCTCTAAGTATCCACCAGGGCCTGGTCCCTGCATCAGCTGTGAAGGCTCTAACCCAGGAGCCGCAGACAGCCCATTAAGGCCGAGGCTCCCAGGGCAGCGGCCTGGTGCAACTGCCTCTGGTCGGCGGGAACCAACCGAGTGTCACGGGGCACCCCACAAGGTTAGGTCAATGTTGCATTTAGGCAGTGGCTTCCTCCCAGCCTACACAGCATGGAGTTTGGAGGGGTGGTGCTGACTCCAGTCGGATAGCTTTTTAAAAATTCTACTTAGAATAACACAGTTTCCTTGACATCAAACATCACCATCACCACAAATGTAAAATTACATTTAGATTCTGCCTGTCCCAGTGCTGACAAGAGCAAGGAAAGCAGGCTCAATCCAGCCTGCCGTGGAGCTCTTTTTATTAGGATTTTCCCAAAGGCCACTTGTGGGTATAAGAATGATTAGAAATGGAAGGACAGACAGGAATTAATTTAAATTCTCTGGGCATGTAAACTGCACATCGATCCCTAAAACTGTGTAGCCCAATTATAGATCATTTTCCAGTTAAATATTATTCCTGCTCTTGATAATGATAATTGCCTATCTTTCTCTTCTCTGCCTCTTCTAAACCACTCACTCATTCACTCAGCTCTGTGGTGTATGTGACCAAGTCAGAAAGATTCATTCATAGGAAAACAGGGCAACGGTAGTAGAGGAACATGGCTCCCCGGAGCTGTGCTGAGTAAAAAATCATGCCCTGGGTGCAGGAAGGCGAGCTCTTCAAATGTCAATTTATGATCAGAAAATGGCTTATCAATACATAGAATCTCCACATCAGCCCAGAACCCCTCAAGCCCACTCCCTAATCCTAAGGAACAAGGAGTTGAGAGCATTAGAGGTGAATATTCTTATCTTACAGTCAATAGGACAGATCCCTCTGCTCCTCCCCCAGTTTGTGTATTCTTTTGGAGACTAAGACCCAGTTCTCCAAGTGTGTCTGGCTGCTCCCTCTATATACCTGCAGCCTCTTCCCAAGGCCCACTGAGCTTTGATTCTGAAAACCAGACTCTTAATGTAGCTGCAGTGCTGGAGGGTTTAGGAAGACCTGCCATTAGGGCACAATACCACTGTGTGGTGATGGCTCAGGTGCTCATGGGCACATGCACTTCTCCCACCAAAGGGTCAAACCATTTGCATTTCTGTAATAAAAAAAGGCATACCTCTGAAAATACAAAACTAAAATATCTTGTCAGTTGCAAAGAGATTCAAATCAGCCTTAACTGGAGAGCATTCTTTCCCAGACTATAGCTAGGCAGTGAGGATAGATGAAATGTTCCCAGTAGTAATTTTTAATATTATGTATATTCTGGTGTTCTCCTAAATAACTACCTGTCACAGTCTATTAATGATTGAATGGGTTTTCTGTTGCCTGGACAGGCTATAATGAGCGAGTTTTTAGATATCACAGCACCTCTGGAAAGCATATGACAAGTATTGGCGGTAACAATACTTCCATTTGGCTACATAAAGAATAAAAAGACAGTTGCCCACCTACAGCAAGAAAAGTTGACAAGGTTACCAGGGACCCAGTGAACGCTCAGGTGATTCAGTGCTTTTCAGATACTCAGCACTGCCCTAGGCACGAGGAAGAACTGGGAATGGCCAGAGAACAAAAGCAGCTTAAGAACCCTGCTTTCAAAAAGCTTGTGGTCTAATATGTCTACACCATCTTGAGAATCAGACATGAACTCATGAAGTGCTAAGTTGGGCAGGCACATACTCGGTGAATGGGAGAGAGGGAGAGCCTGGAACCACGCTGATGCTGGCGGCTTCCCTCTGGGGCGTGGTAACTCTCCTCGCCACGTCCTGCCCGCTCTCCCCTCTCCCTTTCCTTCTTTCCTTTCCTCTCCTCCTCCTGTTCTTTCCTTCTTTCCTTCTCTGTTCCTCATTCCTCACTTACCTTCTTTCCTGATTCCTGCCCTAGGCCCTGCCCTGCGTCCTCCCACCTCCTCACCTCGCCCCACCCCTACGTTCTGTATTTCTCTCCGCATATGTTTGCAGCAAGGCATCTGCGTGCTGGGGCCCTGCTTTGCCCAGGGATATGGAAACTGCACGCTAAGGGATATCAGTTAGTCTATCCTGTGGAAAGAAACCTGGGTTGACAATTGGCTACTCTGACCGTCCAGCCTTGACAAAGCCTGTGCCAGTGTCTTTTCACGCCTCAGACAAGATCCCCAAGTCCCTCGGCTTCCCTTGCCTGACTGTATGGGACATGGAGCCAACCATCCTTATAATAAAGTTGGTTTATGTCTGCTTGTGTCAGTTTACACGTGGGCTTAGAGACCTGGCCAGGAGGCAGTAGCTTGGGCTAGAGTCCACAAATCAGAAAAAATTCCAGCAGATCTTACAAATTACCTCTGTGGTGTTACCGACCACACAAGCCCCTTTGACACACGGAGCCTTTATTCCTTCTTATCTTTCCTTTTTCCTTTTTTTCCTAAAATTTCTTTAATTAAAGCAAATCAATCTTTTCTAAAAGAATAAATGTTAGGCTTGGAAATTTTTAAGCAAAACAAAGATCCATGGACAACATCAAAGGCCGAAAATACAAAGACCACCAATTTCTTGAAACAAAAGCCAGCTGGGTAAGAAGGTAATAAAAACTGTTTATGACCATCTTCCTCACCTTCTAGAGCACCCAGAACATGATACATAGGAAAGTGAGATTTCGTAGTCACAGCACCTGCCTCTGACCTACACCGTGAAGCCACACAGGCGCCTCTTACCCACACGCACTTGATTCTCCTCGCGGTGCCCGTGTGAGTGCAGCGCTGGGACAGCGGGGCTGGATTCGCATCAGAAACCCTGCGCCGAGTTCCAGCCCTCTCCTCACCTGCCGGGCAAGTGGCCCTGGACCCCAGACTCCCATTGACGACAACAGAGCTGAGAGAATCCCTGATCTCAAAAGGGGTTCAGGAAAGGGAATCCTGCTCTACTGCTGAGGAAATGGGTTCATGCACGCCGAGCCCGGCCAGGCAGGTCTGGGCGCTCTGTCGTGTGTGATGACACTGTGACTCTTTCCGTTCTCAAGGCCAAGAAATTACTGGTAGGATGATAATGTGAAGGCAAAATGACAACTTATTTACAAAGAAGAGAAAGAAATGGAAATAGAGTAAGTGAAGATATTTGTAAAGTAAAACTTCTTTGGCCATAATGTAAAAAGGAAGGACAAATCGAATTTTCTCTTAAATTTGTTTTGAAAATCCAAAAGGGAACATGTCACAAAGGTTATTTTGTCAGGGTACGGGAAAGGTTTAAAAACCATAACCGGAACCTAAAAGCAGTTGCTCCCTGATCTTCCTTCTGGCATGAGATACAAACATCTTTTTTTTTATCCTCACTCGAGTTTATTTTTCCATTGATTTGTAGAGAGAGTGGAAGGGAAGGGCAAGGAGAGAGAGAAAAACACACCGATGCAAGAGAGACGCGTCGATTGGTTGCCTCCCACATGTGCCCCAGCCGGGGTTGAGAATCGAACCTGCAGCCCAGGTACATGCCCTTGACTGAGGGTTGAACCCGAGACCCTTCAGTGTGCAGGCCCTTGCTCTAACCACTGAGCCACCGGCAAGGGCGATACAAACATTTTTAAGGAAATACTCTAGAATTGAGCTAAGAGCCTTATTAATGGATGTGTTAGATAGACTTTTATTTGAGGTGCTCTATTCTGTAATTTTGACACATCCCTGTCTGCAGTATTTACATCTTCATAGCAGAACCAGGCTATAACCTTGCACTACCAACAACAACTTAGAGTTAACTACATTTGAGGACACTAAATTCTATTATATTAATTTCTGGCTGTGTCAAAATCTGAGGAATAGTTAATTGGTTATTCAAACTAAGTATCCGCAAGCATTTCAAATCCGTTTCACTACTTCTTAGCTGTGTGTTTTTGACAACTTATTAACATCTCTGTGCCTCAGTTTTACCCTCTGTAATAAATGACAACATATAGACAGCATTCAGAACAGTCTGGCACACAGTAAGTGCTAAGTGCTGGCTGCCATTTGTTTTGTGCTTTAAAGTACCTAAAAGACCTATTGTATCCTCTCAGTTTGAAATCTTTGCCCCAGCTCTAGTGGGCAGATGAGTTTTAAATGTCTTGCTCAGATACAAGAATTTAATGTATGGTGGGGCCNCTTTAAAGTACCTAAAAGACCTATTGTATCCTCTCAGTTTGAAATCTTTGCCCCAGCTCTAGTGGGCAGATGAGTTTTAAATGTCTTGCTCAGATACAAGAATTTAATGTCTGGTGGGTCTAGCATTCAGATCCAAGTCCTCAGAGCAATCAGTGAGTTTCTTTCCAATTCCCTTGTCTTGCAAATGAGAAAACACCCAAGAGATAAAGTGATTTAGACAAGTTGGTGAAGCTGGTTAATGGTCATGCCTGAGTAGAATCCAAATCTTTTATCTCTATATTTCGTTCTTCCAGCAAGTGAGGAGTTTGCTTGTTTAATGAACTTTCTGATGAGATAATCCACATAAAACCCTCACTCTGTGCCCTGTCCACAGTGAGGACTCAGAAAATGGCAATTACCTCTCTTCTGCTTCCTTTGAGGTTGAAATTAGTAAGGCTCAGGTCAAGAAACCATGGAAAACAAGATTCCCCATGATCTGCTTGCTGTTTTGGTGAATGGTTTATGTGGGGTTTCATTAGCATATGGATTTGTACAAGCTGGTTGAGTTGGGAATTTTCCATTTTTTGCTGTTGATGTTGATATCACACTAAAGTATTCATCGCAGAGATCCTGCCCTCCTTCACACAGGCACCATCCCAATGCTCCCTGCCAGGAGCAGAGAGGCAATGACCAAGAGGATCATTTCTGGCTCTCCCTCCACAGTCCCCACTCCCTGCAGTGATTGGCATCAGTGATTCAGAACTAGGCCAGGGAGCCTGGATCTGCACCCCGGCTCCACACTTACTGTCTGAGTTACTCTGCACTAGGTGCCTAATCTCTCTGGACCTCAGTTTCCTTATTTGCAAATTACTCCCTTTTTTATGAGAGTGGTAAGATTAAAGAAAATATTTTCAGAAGAGTCTGACAGGTAAAAGGTTCTGGGTGACAGTTTTTACACCTTTTACAACCAGCTGCAAGGCTGCTGGGTGGCATTGTCTGAACTGATGACCCCAGCTGGCCTCCCACATGGATGTTATCTTCAGATCAGATCTTCACTGTACCCTCAAGAATTCAGCTTTTTCTTCCTTCCTAAGGAATAGCACAAGGCTTATTACCAGCTTTTCTAAGGGAAGTGGTATTTATGCTGGAAACAAGTCTGTGATGGACTGGCTGTTACCTCAGTCCGTCAGCTTCTCTATAGTGTCTGCACGATATGAGCAAGGACTGCTCGTCCTGTGCTGTCCTCCTACAAAGAGAGAAGGGAGCTTATTTAGAGGATAACTTGGCCTCATTAAGCTTAAGAAAAACTGCCTTCTGGACCAACTAAAAATGGGGTTTGACAACATATCTCTCTGTACTTATTTCCTTTGGCCTATGAACACCGATCTTGAACCACCTACCACAAAAGGTTTGTTATCAGTGTGTTGTATCTATCAGCATTGACATGTGGGTATATATAGAAAGTATACTTGTACAAGGCACTGTGCTACGTTTTACATATAATTCTCTCAGTAACACTGGGAGGGATGTTATTTCTATCAAACAAAGGAAGAAATTGAGAATTACAGTATTCAGTGACCTGCCCAAAGTCACGCAGCTTACTTGAGGACTAGCCCAGATTAAAATCCAGGCCTATCTGATCTAAGTCCCATTCTTAACCCAAATATGCCTGAACATAAGAATTACCTGGGATGGTAGTTAAAAATAGATTATCTGGGATACACCTCAAGATCAGCTAAATCAGAGTCTCTGGAGAACGGGTTAGAGAATTTGTTTTTTAACAAGTACCCCAGGTGCTTGGTATTTAAAAGAACAGCGACACCTTTGGTTCTTCATCTGCAGCTGATGACAACCCTGGGAGAGCTTAAAGCTTATCAGTGCTTAGGTCCCAGCCCACATGCAGCAGGTGTGTCCCAAAGTCTGCCATGAAACAGTTCTGCAGTTCAGTCCCACTTCCCAGCTGTAAAGTGGAGAATGTCAGAGCTGCCTCGCGGGCCTCGGCAGTGCTGAGAGAATGAAGCGAGAGTGCCGGTGAGGGTGCCTGCACAGTGCTCATTGAAACATGCTTTTCAGAACCACCGTGAGCCTTTTCGCCATCTGCTTAGTAGGCGTTTGAGGGTTGATCTGAGAGTCTAATAATCCGTTTAACATGATTTTGTGGGAGAATGCATTCAGATTGCAAAATAATTCACACAAAAATTTTAGAATACAATTGATTTCAACCTTCGGGACTACTTAAAGGTTTTATTATAGACCCGGGAATATTGAATACATCATGTGAAATCTTTTCCATGTGAATATTAAGTGAACAGTTGATTTGGCTTCCTGGTCTATTTGGTCTCTCTTTAAAATTAGTCTTAATATTGTTAAGTGGGAAGTGTAGACTCTGCAATGGTAGCTATACAGTAATTATGCCATAATAGGTCTGATTTGTTGAGCATTTCTGTGTGCTAAGCTAGTGGTCTTTACACATCCTTATGAAATGTTGTGACTCCTACTTGCTGAGACTTAAAGAGACTAACTGTCTTGGTAGGGGTCATTTAGCTCATAACAATAGTAGATACAAGATTCAAACAGAAATGTCAGAACCCTCAACCCCAGGGTCCTAGTTACCTTGCTATATGAGATCCCCATCAGCATCATGGATTAGGAAACAAACAGAGGAAAACAAGAGCAACAGCTGTGTTAGAGCAGGATTGTGGTTAATTTGCTCTTTATTTAAGATAAAACGAATTATTGGTATAAAAGTGTATGAAATTAAAAAAAATTGGTAGAAGAAGAAAATTGCATTAAAAAAAACCTACCTGGATTTTATGACTTAATGTCAAGACTTTTATTGCTGCAGGTATTGGGCTTCATTTCTGTTCCTAATCTTTTATTGTCTTCTGGTCCCACTGAAAGTTGAAGGTGGAGGAAGAAGTTAGAGGGGCAAGAAAGCGACCCATGTCCTCTCTAGCCCTCACTGGGTTAGAGAAAAGTGCTGCCTTTTGTAGCACAGGATGAGGGCACCAAGAGCTTTCCAGAAGTGGTGATTTACTTTGAGCTCTCAAATCCTTCCCTGTACCTCCTTTTATATCAAGGGAGGGCTGGTCAGGCATGGCACTGCCACCAAGGGTGCCATCTACCTGAAGGGTGAACCTGGAACTTTCTGTCCTTTTGCCCTGTGCCCCACCCCCACAGCTGCTCACAGAATGAGAAAGAGTCAAGTTCAGCGCTTTCCTCCAGCTCCTTTGATACGGACATGACTTAACAGTCATGTAGAAAACTACACGCTGTTTGTCTCACTGGAAAAGCACATGCCAGAACTCATCTGTTCCTTTCCTAAAACGAAATGTTCTTCCTTTCTAACAGATATCTGCAAATGAAATTGAAATGCTCTTGATGAGGCTGCCTCGCATGTTTAAACAAGAATTCACAGGCGTGGGAGCAACGCTGGAGAAAAGGTGGAAGTTGTGTGCCTTTGAAGGAATTAAAACTACCTAACTATGAAAAACAAACCAACAAAAATCTCTGGAAATGAAACTGCCTGAAGGTGGCCAGGGCTGTGCAGTGCGAGGCAGGAGGCCTGGGGTTGCCCGTGTGGGCCCTCGGCCGAGCCGGCAGGGCCTGACTCGCTGCATCTGTGGCGTTCTCTTGTGAGTGGAAATGTAATTGTGCACCAGTTCCCTAAAACAAACAGAGCTCCATACTGTGACAGATCTGTTTCCTCTGAAAACCAAACAATGATTCCACAGTCATAATGATGGCAAAGTCTTAAAATATGTTACATTTGAGAATAGCTCACCAAGCAAAATATTTAAAGTTAATGATGGTGTAGCGATGGTTGTTGCTAAGCTGCAAAGTTGTACATGTAATATATAGCTGAAATCATTCAATGACATTTTCCTAAAAGTCTCTGTTTCTGTTTTAGCAAAAAAGCGGAAAAAAAAAAAAAAAAGTAATTTTACAGTGAGGAAAAATCATACCAAAAGAAAACTTGAATATGTGTCTGACTGAACAGTTATTGTATTTTGTAAATTAAGTTATATGCTATTCCAGGGACTTTTGCCTTATTGAAGAGGCAGAAAATGTGATTGGTCTCCTTGGGAATGCTTTATCAAGAATATTATTTTTCTAATGTAACAATTCTCCATCATAAGTTCTTTTAACATGGGCTGCATAACAATTTTCATAAAATGTAAATAAAGGAAAAACTAGTGCTACTGTCTTGTACTTGGTATGTAATATTCAGGTTTATGCATCAAAATAAACATTCAGTAAATATTCCTGTTACAAATTTTATAGCAAAGACATTAATTTTTTTCAATAAATATGACTTCTACCATATTGGTTTTGCAAATTATTCTTTGTTATATTTTATTTTTTTCTCAAGAAATTTTCACATTATTCAGACCTATCTCATATCCCATCATTTAAAAATGATTAAAAGCGTGAGTGACCTTAAGAGACAAAACATTATTTAAAACAGGAATATATAAAAATTGTGAAGTGGGAAGTACTAAGAAAATGAGATCATACAACATTAGAGTAGATATTGTTTGAAAATACCAAGAAATAACATCCAAATACAGTCAACATAAAATTTACCTTTGTTTTGTGTATTATGGGCAGATACAAAGTTACCAATTTGTTGATTTTTTAATTCCCGGATTTATTTATTTGTATGTTTGCTGGAATACATACATGTTAGAAAAGAAATTATTCATACGTGGACCAGCAATCTAAACAGAATTTGGACTTCTCTTTCTTTTCATCACAAGTAAAATAGAGCTTTAAATTGTATCTCCTTGCTGCTTTCTTACAGAAATATCACCAAAAAGACAAGTATTCAAGATATTGATTAATTTTAAGTGAAATATTTTTTAGGAAGATAGCTGAACAGTGAGTGAGCTTTGAAACTGTAAAAAAAATTCATAACTTCCTATTGAACATTATTGTCCTCAGGATCTTTTTATTGAGCTCTAATAAAGATACTTATTCATACCTCCCATAAATATCTACAGATATGTTATCTCCAGGCTCAGCGCTAATGCCTCGTACACGGAGATGAGTAAGAAAAGACCCTCTCCTTAATGAGCTCAGAGCTCAATGAGAAAAAGACATCTTCCCAAAACTTCCTATATGATGTGAGCCAGGTGACAGGAAAGATGTGACAAGGGTGCTATGGGATTCAAACTAAATGGCAATATATTAAATGTCGAAAGACTAGAGGCCTTTCCATTACCATCTATCGATGCCCACTACCAACATCATCCTGACACATTGATCTCTGCATCAGGAGACACAAATAAGGATACAACAGTCAAAAAGGAGATGACCTCATTTACAGATAATGTTATTATAAAATAGAAACTTAAGAGGGTCTCCTGAAATATAATTAGAAGAAAAGGCTAGTTACAAAGACATAAAGTCTGGTTGGGAGATAAGGTACCACCATCTGGACTATTTCTAATTGAAAACATGGGAGGTGTTTTCAAATTTGCATTCATACTTTAAAGTATGGCCGGTAGTCACGTTAGCAGAAGGGTCCACTGCACAAGGTAAACCCTAACTCAGAGCTCTGATTAGGAAAAAGAATTGGAGGGACCTTAGTTCTGACAACAAGATGTTGTTTCCTAAACACATGGTCCTGAGACCTAAATGGCAACTAAGGGGAAATGAAATAGTTAATGCAGCTTTCAAAAATGTTTGAATAATTCCCAGAGATAAATGTCTACACTAGAGCAATCTATTTCTGCTATATTTTTATTTATACTTGAAACTAATTATTAGTTATCTAAAAGTATATTAATTATATATTTTAATTTCAATTATGTGACTTATTTTTGCAAAAAAAAACTTCTAAATTCTTTCACAGACATTCAAGTTCAGCTGGGACTTTAGAAATCACCTGGAGAAGGAACTAATATTGGCATCTCTGAGGGCCATTTGGAGTCTACATAAGCCTGTCACCCCCATCCTCTCTAATCCTCAGAATAACCCTATATAAAGATACTACTACTGTCCTCATTGTCACACAAGGAGAATGCGACTCAGAAGTTTTAGGTAATTTAGCCAAGTTTGCACAGTCAGTCAATTTTGAATACAGAATTTGAACCCAGGGTTGACTGGCTCCAAAACGTGTGTTGTTTTGTTTTTCACTATGTCCTTCCATCTGTTCCCACCCCTCCCGCGGGCCCAGTGCCCCCGGTGCCTTTGGATCACTGCCTTTACTCTCCCCTCCACCATCCCTTGTGCGTGGGTAGAGGTGTGAAGACGTCAGCCTTTCTCTCCTGAATCTACACAGTAACCACTCATGGTTCTCGGATTCCAGGAATAAGCATAACTGAAGGTTTGGAGATCCTCGTACCCTGGCCCCAACAGGCCTTTCTGGCTTGCATTGTCACTGCTTCCCTGAGTAGGACTAATATTTTTTGCCTTTCTGCTTTTGCTCATGTATTTCTATCCAAACGAAATGAACCTACATCTAGTTATCACAATTCTGCACAGCCTTCAGAGGAAAATACAAAAACACCCTCCCCTGCCCCGTCCCATCCACGAAGATTTTCCTCCATCTCCCGGCAGAATCATTTCTCCCCCCTCTGCACGGCCATCCCACAGCGACTGTTTCTTCGGGACTTACTGGCCAGCCGTCCTTGCCTCATCTCCCTATTAAATTACATACTCTTTAAGGGGTCTGAGCATGTTTCTTTGACTTTGAATTATTTCTCAAAGTGGTTTTACTTATAAACATTTTATAAGTAGGACAGTGATTTAACCAAGATGTTTTTCTGACTCGAGGGATGAGTTTGCTTATACACAAGGGATAAAAAATGTAAAATATTTGAAAAGGCTGTAAATACTTTAGATCTAAGATTCCAAAGCAGAAATTGAGAGAGAATGTTCTGCATACTATTGAAGTACAATGAGCAATCCAATTCCTTCTCAAACTTCTAACCCAGATCAGTTATCACTCTTCCACGAAGCCCTGATCCCCTCAGGAACCTCCTCCCCTGTGTTCCAACTATTACACATTATATTTCTACTGCNGTACAATGAGCAATCCAATTCCTTCTCAAACTTCTAACCCAGATCAGTTATCACTCTTCCACGAAGCCCCGATCCCCTCAGGAACCTCCTCCCCTGTGTTCCAACTATTACTCATTATATTTCTACTGTAGCCCTTATACTGTATTTTAATCATTTGTGAATATAGCTGTCTCTCCCAGTCTTGGGGGCATGGCACCTCCCTTATCCATCCATCTAGTCCCTTGGAGTCTGACATAATATACCATGAATTTTAAATAAATATTTATTGACTGAATGAACCAAATGAATTAAAGAAAAGCCCACACAGGAACCTTCTAAATTTGTTGAAATGGAACGTACTCAGGTATTAGGTCCAGTAAGAGAGGCTAGAATTTTCTGCCCCTCAGTTGTAACATCTCGGCAGAAATTTTACTTATTTCTTTTATTGTAGTAAAATATGCATAATATTTTTCATTTTAACCATTCATAATTGTACAATTCAGTGACATTAAATGCATTTATAATGTTACGTAACCAATCGCCTGTATATTTAAAACTTTTTCATCATCATCCCCAACAAAAATTTAATGTACCCGTTAAATAATTACCCCATCCCCTCCCCGTCCAGTCCCTGGGAACCTCTATTCTACTGTGTCTCTTTAAATTTGCCTATTCTAACTATAAGCTGCAAAGTCTTTCGCAAGTCTTACAAAGCAGATGGAATCATAGAGTATTTGTCCTTCTGTGTCTCGCTTACTTCACTTAGCCCGATGTCGTCAAGGTTCATCTATGTTGTAGCATGTGTCAGAAGGAACTTCATTCCTTTCCACGACTGAATAACCTTCCATTGTGTGAGAACTCTTCTTGCTGGCTTAGGTATCATTTATCTATCACAGCAAGGAAAAGTCAGTGGTCTATGTTCGAAAATACTGTACTTAAATGCTTTTATAAATACAGCATCAAAAACATTTGAAAATGTAGAAAGGTTTGTTTCTATTTGGATAAACCACTCATTTTTATTAAGGATGATAAGATGAAATGACAAAATTAGAAGAAGTTGGTAATAATTTATAGAAAACAAGATTGTTTATGCAAGTATCCATTGCAATAAATGTGATACGCAATTTTTTCTTGGGGCCAGGGATGTTTTACTTTGAGGGTTTTTTTGGGTTTTTTTCATCTCTTTTCTAAAAATGGCTGCTGAGTTTACTTGTTAGACTCAATAAAAGATATGTTATTCCCCAAACAGAAGAACTACATTACCATAACACTCAGATTCTTCCTATAAGCTGAGAAAATAAAAAGATGTTAGATTCCTACACTCCTACAGCTTTGCTCACTTCATATTAAAATGGTAAAAGGTTCACACATATATTCAATCAGTCTATCATCAGTATCTGAATAAACTATTCTTTATTAAAAAATACCTTTTTTGTGTCGCACACCAAACATGAACATTTCAGAGTTAAACAAGTTATAGGGAATATGTTTACGTATTAGGTCACTAAAAATATTGTGTCTAGTTCTGCCACCTCCAAATTTCCTCTTTTGCTTTCAAGTGATTTGTTGTGTGGTGTGTGTTTTTAATTTGTGGACTTCAAACATTTGGAAATTACTCATACCGTGTAAGAAAGTGTTCAGTTTGTGTCAGGATCTAGTCCGAGCCCCAACATTCGCTGGCCTTGTGAATGTGAGCGGAGGGGCGGTAAGGCACGTTGCCTGACCACAGCGAGGCGCCAGTCCCAGGTTCATGAAGTGACAATGTAGGTGGCTGCTTCACAGCGTTCCTGCGGTGGTTAAATAAACGAGCATGCACACAGCACACAACACGGAGCCAGGCAGACCGAAGGCATTGGTTTCCTCACAGATAATACTTTACATGCATCACCCCATCCACCAAAATAGGCCAGTCCTTTCCCTGCTATCAGCCTATCCCTGTCCTTAGGGATAAACAGTCAATATTTATGTTTCTAAATACAGAATAAAGTAACTATAAGACAAGCATCATCCCCACAAATAGTCCAATAAATATTTCAAGTGTAAGACTGACATAAGCAAAGTAATTGTAATTCTCTAAGCTGCAAAGACTTTCACAACTCTTATAAAGCAGATGGGCAGTAACCCTCAGCACTGAGAAAATATAGAGCTGAAATTCTTTGCTGCAGCTCCTTTTCACTTATTTGGTATATTTCCAATAAACAGTAATCAGGGTCAAATACACTCAACTGTGAAGAAACTATACGGCTCTAGGCAACTGCCATTTTGAATGATGGTCAGCTAAGCATAGTGTATGCAAGGATTAAATAAAGTATTAATTA